AAAAAGGAAATGAAATCACAGTGGACAACACCAGGAGGCAAATCCCTCTCTTCCTTGCCTGAGTTGCTGACCTTAGTAGATTTGAAGGTTTACTCAACCCACGCAAGCACAGGCCACAGAAAGCCTTCAGAAAGAGAGCCCCAGGTTATGCACTAGGAACCTGTAGCAATGTACTGAAAAGTAGATGGCGAAAACATAGCCAAGCATCAATCAGGGCATGAAGACAGTTTTTAAAATATAGCACAGAGTTTTTAAAATCTAGTATGTCTAAGAAACAGAGAGAGTTATAGATCACTGTCATTAATGTAGCACAGAATAGGCAGAATAAAACCATATGAGACATTGCACACTCATACCATATGCCTGGACATATTTCAGACATATCACGTAGTGCCTTTGGGTAGGCAGCTAAACAGGAGTGAGGATGAAAGTATAACAGGCTGTTGCCATTAATGATTCTATCTTGTTTAATTTTTGTTCCCTGTCTCATTCTGAGACTATTGACATCATCCTGCATTCCTGTGATCATTCTGCACTGATTCCTGGAACAAATTGTTAATCACAAATCTGATCAGAAACTGGAATGTCTTGTCCTAAAGATAAAAAAAAAAGTACTGTCACAAGGACTTATCAGAAACTTATGTCTTGTCCTAAAGAAAAAAAAAAAAAAAAGTACTGTCACAAGGACTTCACCAGCTAATGCGGGGCCAGACTATCTAGATCAACCTTCTGGACAAACTGATTTCTGCATGTAGCCCCACATCTGAGCCTCATGAAATACTCCACTTTGCACCCCAAAATAGAAGGATGAACTTAAGATATTAGTCTTCTAGGTTGCTGGCACCCTCCCTACACATGACTTGCTCTTCCCTAACATTCATCTCTTGGCTACTGTTCTTCCAGTAGACATAGAAAGAAAAGAAAGGAAGAAGAGAAAAACACCATTGTATATGAAAGAGGTCCGAAGGACTAGAATTAAACAATTCGTTCTGTGTATCGACATTCTCTCTGAGGTACATCCAAACATGGTGACTTGTGGTTGAAGCATTTCACTCACAACTGTTGTTCTAATTACTGCATATTGAACACAGCAAAAACAAACATTCAGGTGATCTGCAGGCAAAAAAAAAAAATCAAGATTTTTTGTGACTCTCAAGACCCTCTGGAAGTAGTTGTCTCAATCAATATTTCTTACATTTCTTTTACATAAAAATGAACACCATGATGAACTAGGTGAGATTTCCCACTATCAGACATTGGGACAAGGATCCATGTGCATATGACTTCATGAAATGTGAGAAGAAACCCACCTGTGACTGTCTGAAAATTCTAACTCTAGGGTTGTCCTGACTCAAGGCGAGGCAGCTGGGCTCTCGGGACCTTGTACTAACAGACCATTGACCCAGGGCTGTTCTGGCGGCACATCTCCCTGACTCTTCCAGTTTTGGGGAAAGCGGGGAGGGAGGTCCAGCAGCCTTCAGTCTTCTAAAGAGAATCTAGAGGGCAGGGACTTAAATATAAGAACATAGGCCAAGCTAGGGAAACAGCCAAATCGTAGAAGAAATTAAAGGGATCTAAATGACCTAACAGAGAGCATTAGCCTCCCACTATCCTAGGGACTGAATCCTCACCACCCCCAAGTGGCTCCAGATACGCTAAACATGCTGTCTTCTTCTTCCGTCTTCTATACCTACGGTGGAGACTGATAGTTCCAGTGGATTCCATGGGAGTCATATTCAAATATATAATTTTTATTACTTTACACAAAGAATGTACCTCCAATTCCTTTGAGCTCTACTTCTCTTTAGTTCATTAAACCTACTTTTTAACTACTTTTTAACATACTTTTTAACTTTCATTTCAGTAACTGAACGAAAAGGTGATCTGTTACAAAATTCTTAAATGCAACTAGGTAACCACTGGGTAGACAGTTCCAATACTTTATTCTGGCTTTTTTGTTGTTGTTGTTGTTGTTATTGTACCAGGGATTGGACTCAGAACCTTACGCTTGCGAATCAGGTGGCGGAAACACTGAGCTAAATCCCCAGCCCTTTATGGTCCCAGTTTAAGCAGCAAAAAGAGATCAGAGAGTTATTAGTTAGAAGCCACCGACTAACTTCTGAGGACCTGCTAGAGAATCAAATAAGTAGTTGTTGTTGTTGTTGTTGTTGTTGTTGTTGTTGTTGTACCAGGGATTGGACTCAGAACCTTACGCTTGCGAATCAGGTGGCAGAAACACTGAGCTAAATCCCCAGCCCTTTATGGTCCCAGTTTAAGCAGCAAAAAGAGACCAGAGAGTTATTAGTTAGAAGCCACCGACTAACTTCTGAGGACCTGCTAGAGAATCAAATAAGTTACATCTTGCTTTGGTCATTGTCCAGTAGGTATTCCTCTCTCATCATAACACCGCAGGAATGGGAACTTCCTTGAGTCTGATGGTTCCAGATTCTTGAATGTGTTGTTTCTTCAAATAAAATCTTCAAAATCTGAATGTCCAGAAGTTTATTATTACGATGTTCCCATGTTGACAATACTGGATAAGATTTTCTGGGTTTTGTTTAAGATAATTTTTTTACTTCTTATTTCTCCTTATACAGAAATGTATTGTTCATTGTCCATCATATTCATCACCCTTCTACCCTTCACTCTGCATTGCAAAGAGACGATTCTCACGATGGTCCTTCTTTAATGATGTTCCCATGTTGACAATACTGGATAAGTTTTTCTGGGTTTTGTTTAAGATAATTTTTTTACTTCTTATTTCTCCTCCTTATACAGAAATGTATTGTTCATTGTCCATCATACTCATCACCCTTCTACCCTTCACTCTGCATTGCAAAGAGACGATTCTCACGATGGTCCTTCTTTATGGCCTATTTCATACCTTTCCCTTTAATTTCCTCCTTCAATAGCTGCTGAAGAACAAACGCTTCATCAGAACAGCTCATGGTTGTTGTTTTTCCCATGTTCTTTCATGTAGAAGATTGTCATTGTGCATCTGTGCATAATAAAAGAATAATATTTGAGGATTGTGTTTTCCTACAATATTTTGTAGGCATAGGTCATTTGCCTCATCTTGGATTTTTTTTTTTTTTTTGGTATCAGAAATTGAACTCAGGACCTTGTACTTGGAGGCAAGCACAGGCCCACTCAGCTAAATCCCCGGGCCCCACCTTTGGATATTTCTGTGGAATATTCCATTGCCAACCTGATATTTTCTTCTTTATATAGTTTGGTCTTTTTTGCCCCTCTGTCAGATGCTTTAGTAGTTTTCTTTAATTTATAATGTTAAAATTTTAACAAGAATATATTCTATTATCAAGTATATAAGATCAAACTTCCAAGAATCTTATATTTCATGTTTTTATGATTTAATTTCTGCTTCATCACAGGGATGTACTCCTTTAATCTTATGTTAGATCTTATATTTACTATTAGATTTTCTAAATTCTCTTCTGAGACACAAATGGATTGTCTTTGTGTCTTTTCTAACTCCATTACCTTGTAATTAACCTTTCAATGACATTTTCCTTTCATTAGCCTTTATTGTGAATATCAAGCTTTTCTTACCATACTTAACATGATATTATGATATATATTCTTTTCTATCACTAATTGTGTGTCTGTGCTACTTATTTCATGAGTCACACTACTTCCTCACTGTATTCTTCAGTTCTTTGTTATTGAGTTCAATTTACATGCTCTATCATGCCAAGTACCTATGAAGAAATTCTTTCTATTCAGTTTACTTTTCTACTTGGATTTGCTGACACTTTTGGAAAATAATTTATGGATGTTGTGCATTGTCTTTTAGTTCTAATATCCTAATATATGTTGCTGTGTTCTGTCATCATATTCACATATGTGTCGCTGTGTCTCCACTGTTCTTTCTTTCTTTCTTTTCTCAATGAGTTTATTGGTACATTTTAGGTATACAGTACAGTTACATTTATCATTGTGATCCTGTACCTTTACATGACAGGTCTTGGTTCTCATTTTTTCCTCATACTCCTGCTCTCCCTTCACCCTCTCCTCCCTTCCCTATTTATAAAAGCTTTGTTTCCATTTTTTCATTTTCTCATATTTTTTCTTTTCCCTTATTTCCTTTTCCTGACCCTTCCCACTTCCCCTACACCTTTAGAGATGTCTGCTTAAACTGTAGCTTGGGCTCCTTGACCTCTACAAGGGAAGGTGAGGACATGAAGGTGACCAGAGATACTCTGATGATGGCTTCTCTGGGTGGAAGTGGTCTCTCTTCCTTTTTGGTGACATATTAAGAACATTGTTCTAGTTTTCTGTTCTATGCCCCAAGCTATAACTGTGTTGACATCCAAAGGAAGATCAGCTGCTGATCTTTGCTGTGTTTGGTGTATATATTAGTAGCAACCAGGAGTATCAAATATGCAATGCACACATGCTTTGTGTAATCTATAGGTATTCTTCATAATCTATAATCCATGATTCACTAAACTACCCTTTGTTTTCAAGAAATGATTTTTTATACATTTTTAACTATCTTCTCTATTTCTAGTGTTTCCCCTAAAAAGAAGCATCCTAAGTTCCTGAATTTAAATTGACAATCAAACTGCATTCAGTTAAGACTGTCACAAAGTACCTTTCTGAGGATTTCCAATAGGCTCCCAGAATGTGTTCAGTCTGTCTCCTTCCAGTCTTCTTCCACATGAAAGGCCAAGCTGACGGGAAGGGTCTATTCCTTCAGATTTGCGATGGGTAAACACGGCAAACTAGCAGTGCGCATGGCCACCTCCTTCCCTGGCAACTGCTTTCCAAGAATTTTCAGTGTTTCACCTTGCGTCATACATTTGCTAATACCCATTTCTTACATTTTTCACAACCCTAGTGTTACTTGGCTTATGGCATATCGCTAGTAGCAAGGCCGCTTTAAAAAAGTGTCTTTTTCTAATAATCCATAGTTATTACATTGAATCTCCATATTAAACAAAACTAAAGGAAAAAGAAGAAATAGGGAAGATGTTGGGAAGGATGGGCAAAGGACATATGTAAAAGAGAAGGAGAGGAAGGAAGGGGGCAGACATTAAAACAAACAGCATTTCCAAGGAAGGATAATTTCCTAATAGAAGATATAATGATCTAAGCCATAAACAAATGACCGGGCATGAGTAAACCACATGTTGCCTTTCAAATCAGTCTTCCCTGTTGTCCTTATATGCTCAATATAGTTTCTAGGTTAAGACAAGGAAGATTCGAAGTACTCGGATTTTGTGCCATTTTTCCCTCTGTGCCCGAGTGGTAGGGTGGTAGAGGTCATCGAGATGTCCAGCAAAGTTGCTCCTGCAAATTAGGATGAGAAGAAATGCAATGGATCTCATAGAAACTGTTGAAAATAGAGTTCAATCCCCGGTAACAACAACAACAGCAAAAGAAAGATAGAAAGAAAAAAAGAAAATCTTGGCAACATATAGAACAGATGTGTGGATTAAAAAAGAGAAATGATATGAAGCAAGAAAATAAAGGTGTTTATCACATTGCTGACTTAGGGACCGGTCCCTTTGTATCATGCCGTCACAGCCAGCCTCATTGCAAAGGAGTTACTCTTGGGGTCTGTACACGTCCGTTCAATCAGTCTCACTAGAAGGAGGCTCTGGATAGCATCTTACAAAATTTATCATCATTGGATTTTAAATGTTACTATAGATGCCTTTTTATTAGGAGGGTCATGCCATTGTTTATGCTAATTTTTCCTTAACATTGCTTGAACTTAAGAAGCAGAATTAGGCTTTTTCAGAGTCCTTCCTCATGATTCCTTCTGTTTTCATTGTTTGTGTTTTGTTTGGTTTTCACAAGTTCTCCCCAATAGCTTTGAACTTCTACTCATAATGTATAAGTTTCTCAATAAAATCCCACCGATCTATTTGAATCACATGGCAGCCCTGATGAACAATTGGTCCTAGATATAATCATTTCTGATTGTTCTTTTATACTTCCTGTGATCATCCATAAGCCTTAATATCCACATCTTACTCTTCAGACAGAACCAGAAAGATGACTTTATGGCAAATGTTTCCAAGTTATAACCACCCACTTACCTCTCCGCTATTTAGATTTTTCATCTCACTTTCAATGAGTTGAAGAGACCAGCTTAGCCATAAGGAAACTGTTACCTATGTGATCTCATCTCTATTCATCTTCCATTCAGTCTGATGCCATTGTGAAGACTTCTTCAAAATCCCTTGATCTCTCTAGGCAGCTTCCAGTATAGAGCTTTTTGATTTAGTTTCCTCTGCTCAGAGCAATCTTCCCTGCACATATCCACAAGGGTCCATTGTGTAACATCCATGAAGTCTTGTGAGAGTTTCTTTAACCAACAGATTTGAAACTGAAACATTTCCTATGCACTTGCTATCCTTTCTTTGCTTTAGTTTTTCCTGGGCAATAGCACAATCTCACGAATCTCATACTTTCCTCATTGATGTAACTGTTTGTGTCAATCTAATGTGCAAATAATATATAATGATGTTTCATGGCTGGCAAATACTAGATCAGTAGCAAAAACATAGTGCATATTCAGTAAATGACTTGTTGAATCAATCAATCAGAGAGTGAATTAATGTAAATCTTTGAGGATGAATCTTGTGTTAGTTTCACCTACAGGGAGAACTGAATGTGTCAGGTACCCTGATTATCATGCACTCTATTTCATAATTCTCCTATTGCTATCAAGAGTTGTTCAGAAGTTTATTTTAATGGATACCAATGAAAAAAAATGTTTAATCACTAAGAAAACCACATTGAAAACCATACCTTATCATTTGGGTAGTCATTTAATCTGGATTTCTGATTTTGATACTTGAAAGAAGAAAACATCATATTTTTCTTCCAGGTTCAATGAGACGATTAAGTGAAATTATACGTGCAAAAGCAATTTATAAAGCCAATTAAAAGAATTACTAATACAGATATTTAAAGCCAATCTTTGTATTTATATATTTGAAATACATTATAGCTGCAATTTGCATACTCAAGGAAATGTAAGGATGACATAGTAATACTTGTTTTTGTGCATGTTATTTTTAACTTTGGTTTACTAGTACATGTGTGTAGCACATAATGCTTATGCTCCTCCTGGGAATTTGGTGCATGCATACAACACATCCTAATATCTTTCTTTCATCCCCTTTCCCTTCCCCTTCTCGCCCTCCTCTCTCCATTCATCTTTTGATCCTCTTCCTTTTCTGTACATGTTTACAATACAAAATGTTTACATTTCTTGTATGGCGTTGGTACATACACATAGCACATTGTAATTCCTTTTCCAATGCCTTCTCCCTTCTCCCTTCCCTCCATCTCTTGATCCCTTTGCTCTCTGAGAAAGATCTGTCTCCCTACTTCCTATTACCTCTCTTGTATTTTCATCTTTATTTTTCCTTATGTTTCTCATATAAGAAGAGTCATGTGTTGACAGTGTACGTGGGGGTCAAAATGTACAATAGATAATGTGAAATAAGGAAAAAGTTCCAAGGGGGAGGGGAAAGCGGGAGGGGTTGGGAAAGGAAAGGGAAAAGAATAAAAATGAGAAAGTGAAAAAACAGGAACAAAGTCTTTATAAATAGGGAGAGGTGGAGGGTTTGAAAATAAAAAATAACCAAGATATATCATGTAAAAGTATAAAATAAAAATGAGGAATTCCTTTAGTTGCCTATGGGACCTCAAAGTGTCTGTGGACAGACTAAAAATCTTTAATTATTTGAAGTTAGAGAGTGAATGGATGGATTTTCCAGGACAACAACCAATCCAGCTCTTCCTTACAACCTGTGAGCCGAGCTCCGCGGAGTCTCCACAATGCAGGTCCAAGTTCTTAAAGAGACCTTCTCAGAACTGGTGCCAACCAATGTTTGTTCCTGTTTCCAAGTCCAGTTTGTTCCCAGCATGCATTCTTTCAAAATATGTTTCAATGCTCATTGCCCCTTAAAGCAAGGGAAATAAAACAAAAGCAAGTATGACTACCCAGAGTGGAACCCGCCCACATTTGAGAGAGCAGACCTGCAAGAGAGGTCAGAGAGTCACCCGGGAGAAGCACTCATCCAGGTGAGAGCCCAACCTTCCTTGGGCCAGTGTGAGAGGGCAGATCTACAAAGTGCAGGTAGAGTGGCACCTGGTCCCCTGAAGAGCATAACATGGGGAAGTAGAGGCAAAAACTAACCAACCAACCCAATTCTGGACAAACACCTGGAGAGAGAAGTGAGCATGCAGACCCCAGGACTGTGAACATTAATTCAACAGCCTCAAAGGCTACATCTGGTAGAAAACAGAAAGCTGATTGTGTTCCCCATCTACCAATAGAAGCAAGGACACACCTTGTCTAGAATGGGCACTTTGAGGACCCAAAGAAACTAAAGCAATTCTTCAGACAGCGGACTCATATCTAGAATATATGTTATTTTGTTTTGTTTGGTTTGGTAGCGGAGATTGAATTCAGGACCTTGTGTACCACTGAGCTAAATCCTTGGCCTGCAACTCAGTTCTTTACCATTTTTTCCATTCTGTCTGTTCTTGCTGATTACATGTTCTTCAAAAATTATAGCCTATAAAACCACACTTTCATTTTTGTGAAAAATAATCTCATATAATTTTTGAAACTATCTTTTCTATCACTTTTAGACTTTTGACCAGGAAGAAGAAATATTCCAAGACTTCTGAATTAATACTGACAATCAGGCTACATTCAGCTTAGCAAGACAGGTGCAAAATACCTTGCTGAGGTTCTCCATGGGATCGCTGGGTATGGCCACTCTGCCTTCTGTGAGTCTCCTGTGTGAATGGTGAGCTGAGATGAAGCTCGGTAGGAGCTTGTCACATCTCTCTGAGAGATGCCACAAATCCACATGGAAAGCGAACTGTTTTTATTCACCTCGTCCCCTTACAACTACTTCACAAGACTTTTCACACTATGTCACATCCGGAAATACTTTTTCACATGTAGCCACAGAACACCATGATTTTCCTAAAATACGTTCCTAGTATTGAGGCCCCTTATACTATCTGACTGCATTCTAATACACATGCGGTGACTAAATCCCAATTTGACTATCCTTAAAAAAAAAAAAAGGACTAATGGCACAGGAGTAAAGAGATGGACTGAAGGAAGAAAGTTTGTAGAGGAGGAGGGGGCAAACACTTGAAAACAAATTGTAGACTTTATAAAGAAGGATAGGGATTGATGGCACAAGCAACCAATGCTGCTTTGTGTGTGAAAGCACCTTATTCCTCCAGATCAGTGTTCTCTCTTTCAAATACATCCAGTACAGATTCCATTTAAGGATCCAACAAGGTACTAGGGAAGTCTGAACACACCCAAACCATTTTTTGTGAGCCCAACTACTGGAGGTTTAGAGGTTGTGCAAATACAAAAATTGTCCTGCTGCAACTAAGGAAGAGAAGAAATGCTAGTTTAATGACAAATGCTGTAAACACAGAGAATATATTCCCACAACACATTTTCTAGATCTTTAATGTTTTAGTGATTTATTTTTTTCTTTTTGGTGCTGGACTTTGGGCTCAGACCACCACACATGAAAAGCACATGGTCCACCAGCAAATCCACTCATCTCCAGCACACTAATTGTTGAATAAATAAATGAATGAATGACTCAATCGATCAGAGAACACATATTAATCTTTGGAGAAATTTATATAAGTTTTGGTTAATTTCTAAATTGTCTGTATGAGTTACCATAAATATCATCCACTCTATTGGATAATTCATCTGTTTATATCATGAAGTGGTTAGAAGCCTATTTTAATGGAGACCAATTGAAATATGCTTTTCCTTCATCACCAAGAAAACCGTATCTACGTTAGTTATCATGTGGCTCATCTTCCAACCTGGATTTCCAAGACATCACCCTAAAACAGTGAAAGAAATTATATACTTCATACAAATTTGTGCTGGGGTCCCTGAGAATATTGAATGAAATTGGGAATATAAACCAATTCATATAAAATTATTACAGGTATCTATAAACATTGTTTGTGTTTCCATATTGAAAATGCATTCTAGCTATAATTAGCCTACTCCTGAAAATCCAAGGGCACATCCAGGAATATTTCTTTTCAGGTTTGTCCTTCTTGCTCCAGGATGCCATGGATATTGAGAGATATTTTAAAAGGATTGGTTATAAGAACATCAAGAACAAATTGGACTTGGAAACTAACACGTATTTCAGCACCACATCTAAAATACTCCCACCGAGAACCTTAGCATGCATCGTGGAGAACCCACGAAGTTAGACAAAAAGACTATTTTTGAGAAAATGTGAGAAAGAACTGGGGTGGGTGGGGCATGTCTCCAGCTAAATCAATTTTTCCTCTGGGCTCTGACCACAATGAGGTTGAAACTACAGTGCTGGGAGGATATGTTCACATCGGTTCAGTCAATAATTATAACCATAATGTGATTCACCTTCTACCACAGGTGACCATTGGGGCAGAAACTACATTGTTGATGCTGGGTTTGGACGCTCCTCCCAGTTCTGGAGCCTTTGGAATTAATTTCTGGGGAGGATCAACCTCAAGTGCCTGCCATTTTCCGCTTGACAGAAGAAAATGAAATCTGGTACCTGGACCAAAACAGAAAAGAGCAGTACATTCCACAAGCAAGAGTTTCTTAATTCTGATCTTCTAGAATAGAAGGAACACCAGAAAATCTTTTCCTTTATTCTTGATCCTCAAACAGTTGAAGATTTTGAGTCAATAAACATATACCTTGAGACATCACCAACATCAGTGTTTACAACCGAGTCAGTATGTCCCATCCAGACTCCAGAAGGGTTTTACTGTTTAGTGGGCTGGAATCTTACCTATACGACATTCAATTATAAGGAAAATATAAAGTTTGCAGAATTTAAAATAGCAAAGAGTGAAGAAGTAGATGAAGTACTGCACACCATATTTGGTATTTCATTAGAGAAAAACACTTGTGCCCAAATATGGTGATCCAAGTTTTTCTGTTTAGATAAGCAACAGAAATGGTCTTCAATGTACTATATGTAAATTAAACATTTACCATCAAAATTTCAAATATGTACACAGGATGGTTAAAGTAAGAAAAGCAATTATATATTGGATATTTAAATCACCAATGACTAACTGATGATATATTGTAACTCCTCCTCTTTTTTAAAATATTTTTGCGACAGGGTCTTGCTGCATAGTTCAAGCTTGAACTCACTATGTAGCCCAGACCAGACTCAAACTTGTGGAAATCCTCTTGTCTCAGCCTTCCAAGTGCTAGATGCTAGATCCACCCTTTTGACATAATACCCTTTGACCCATAAAAATTGTCAGCATACATAACTGACTTTTTAAAGAAATATAGCCACATACAACTTTGCAAAACTAATCATACTTGAAGTGTTTTAGTGATGGTGTGTTATCTTGTGAATCATAATGATTCGTGCTAGAAAACTTACCAATATTGCTTTATTTTTTAATTCACAGTGAATTTATACTGGTAGTTAAGTAAAGAGAATAGCGAGACTACTGCTTCCACTAAACCTAGACAGTCTATATCTAATGTCTACTTTTTAGATAGTACTACCTGTATAACTCAGAATTCAAATACAACAAAGAAAGAGACACAAAACCTAACTGTCATCAAGACATTTAAAGTCACACCTAACGCTATGATTAGATGTCCAGGCAGAGCTCATAATTTCTCCCAGGATCTTTTTATAGCTGCATTTCTTTATATACTATTCTTCTAAATGTGGGAACAGTGATAGCTGGAAATTTTGGCTTGCAGGTTGATACAATTTATCTCTAAAATAAAGATAATTATAAATATAATTTCATATCATCTAGAAAATTTATGCTCTAAAAAGTATATTAAAATGTTGTTATCTAATATGTAGATCAGAATTTTTATTTGGAGACATCATGGGATAAGAGTCATCTTTTCATGCTGTTTCTTTTTTAGCAGTTATATTAATTTAATTCCTTCCCTACTTTGTCACAGAGAAAACCTTGTAGGTTCTTTGTGCATGTTCAGGCTCCAAATGCTGGGAAACTGTGAATTATTTGTAAATCTGTGTACTTAATTCCTCAGAGTTATAATGAGTACTGTACATAAACAACAGAGCGCCAAGCCTAGAGCAAACACTAAATAAATATTTGTTGTACAGATGAATGAATAAGGTCAGCAACTAAGTGATGTTTTGGGTAGTAGGTGACCATTTAATGGAATTCTTCCATCTTGTTTTGTTATATTCTGCAATTTGTTCCTTCTATCTTTCATTGTGTCACTCTAGCTTGAAAATCTTAGTCCCACTATCACTGGCCTGCTTCATCCTTGATAAAATGACAAGGTATGAGGTGCCCAGTATCTAAGAGCATGGCTTATGCTTTAGTACTGAATCTTTACTTTTCTACAACTCATATTTTCTGCCTGTGGGTTCCAGTATGAGGACTACAGTTTAATGTAGATTTATTAATAAATTGTTCTCCCTCTTCACCTTGTGGTCATAATAATAAGGTGCCATGAGAATCAGGAACTGGAACGGAGCACTGTTCATTCAGAGAATGGTTGTGCTATAGCTTGCGTGTTGTATGTAGTCAAGTAACAGGTGGGAGATGATGGTGACGGAGGTGTCTTAGGGAGGAGTGGCCATAAGACCTGCCCTGAGTGGGAAGGAAAGAGGGAAACATGTATCAGTATATGACAATTTACCACTTTCCTTACATTACAGGACTGACATTCTAAAAAACTGCTTCATAAGGTGGTTTCTTGTGTATACTGGAAGACAAACTATTTTCTCACATTGGTTGGTCTGACCAAGACCATGTTGATAACAAAACACGTGGAAGAGATCATGGCAAGGTTGAGGGAGAATGAAGCACGCTATAACAGTGACTCAAGAAAAACACATCATACAATGAGTATCCCACACCAAATGAACTGTTGTTTCAT